AATTCAGCAAAACTTGAACAAGTAAACCTCTGCTTTTTAAAAATGTACCTTGGAAAGTCAGATTGGTAACATTGTTTTAATGCTGATCCTCTTAAGGGCCCTGAACAACAAGATAATTAAAGTCCATAGAAACAAGAAAACCTAAAATCACTTTCCTGTCAAGCAGTGCAGACTGGTAAGTATTTCCACAGGAAGGAATGGGCACAGATCCATTTGTGTGTCCTCAAAGCTCTTGGCAGGAGAACACACTTGCCATGTTCTGGTCTGATACCTCCAGATCTGTGGCATTAACCATGGATAACACGGTTGTGCCCATGGATAACATGGTTGTACCCATGGAAAGATGGAACTTCTCCTCACCTGGGTGGAATGCTATTATTGCCCCAGGTGGTCATGATACTATTACACACATTTGAGGCTTGTTAATTCTGCAGGGCTGACCTGGCCACTCCAGACTGCTTCCATTCCAATAAATACAGGATAATGGGCTGACTAAACATAGATTTCTAAAATATAAACAGATCCCCAGTGATACCCTCGAGATCCAGGCAGAGTATTCAGTGTAAGAGCACTCAGGGTGCTCGTGTGGAGGCCTATCCCCAGAATCTACTCCAAACAATTATGGCATTTCTACGGTATTTCTGCACAACTCATACCAATAAACAGGATGGAAATAAACTGGCATAAGACCATATCAGAAGTTCTGTTTTCTAAATCCATTAGAGAGAAAGACACGGATACTTAACTAATTGGCACTCTCAGCCTTCCATTCCGGGCTGGTGGGAACAGTCGTCAGCTAAACCAGTGACTCACGGAGGCACACTGTGTCTTGGATAATTTTACAGAGGTGGAGGATAGACTGGAGAACAAATATGAGGGCTTGTCAATAAAATACCAAGCTGGATCCCTAGTGATACCTTCTGTGAATCACTTCAGTGGATAAGGGGATCTGGGAGATTCGTACACCCTGTGAAAATACACATACATTTTCGTGTCATGCTTTTCTGACCATCTCTATTAACTTTAGGTGTCACTTTTAACCAGGTTTATTCTTTTGCCAAGATGCATTAATGAAGCCTTGCAGTTTCCCCAGTTTTCAGAAAGCAATGCCCACCTCAAGAGGACAAAATTGTTGTTATCAGCAGATGCAGCCTCAGCACCACTGAACATGTTCTCAAGCCAAAGGCCAGGCCAGGAGGAGCTGCAGCTCAGCCTCCCTTGTCCTGATGGATAATAGGGCCAAGCAAGGCTGATCCAAGTCCAGCAGCTCCTCCTGGCAGCTCCAGCACCAGTTCATTGGGGTCCACTGAGTGTGAAATCCACCTCTCCACACCACACCAGCACAATGCATCATTTAAGTCATTTTTAAGGGATGAAAAGGTTCATAAGCTTCATGTTGCCCTCTGCACAGGAGTGAATTTTACTCTTAATGCAAACGGTGCTTAAATGCAATATTTTAAGGCTAATATTCCGTACAGGCACAGCGTCTGATTCATGCCAACCCAAGGGGCAATGTGAATGCTTAGCATTGTTTAACCAACTCCCAAGGACTGAATAAAACCCTCAGATGAAAGCTGTGACCTTCAGAGAGCATGGAATCACTTCTTCTTTTCATCTAAAAGATAATTTAGCTAATACTTTTCTCCTCATTGAGGACATAGGCTCGCTGCACTGAAAACTGTTTACAAATGTTCTTTCTCCATTAAATTGATTTTCTGAGTATAGATAGGCAGTGTTTTCTGGAACTAATTTAAATTCCCCTCTAATTAATACTCAAGATCAAAATATGTTATCTTTGCATGACTGGGCAATTATTAAAGGGAAAATATCAGAGAAAGTGTGTGTGTGTGAGGGGGGTATTTTATTTTTTTTGACTAACCATTTCCCAATATGAAATGTATCATTTCTTCGCCTTTTTTCAGGCTTTAATTCAAGAAGCTTTCAAGAGAGAAATATCTTTTTTGGTTGTGTACAGACCATTTGTGAAAGGAGATGAGAGGGCCAAAATAAAGGAGGCAGACAAAACCTTTGCTAAAAAGCACTGTGATTACATGCAGCACATATTTACAGGTAACAGCAGATTTCACTGCTCTTAAGCACTGTGTGCTGTTTATATGTGTCTCTGACTTAAAAAGAGGTTGAGAGGCTCTGTAGCTTGAGGTCCAGACATTTCTATACCTCTAGGGGAAAAACTGTCTTCTGAGATCTGCTCTGTGATTGTCTGTGGTTTAGGCAGTCAAATGAGTACTCAGGCGAAGTACAGACTTTATACTGCAAATCCCCATAAATATTATTTTTATCCATGAAGCACCAGATTTCCATCTTTGGATTTCATTATTGCAATTAATCTTTTGTTCAAAGGTAGGTTTGCTGTGTATTGTGGTGACAGGGACACTCAAGCTCATTCCCATCTCCATGGGTTTCCACAACCACTGATGGTCATGCCTGCAGCAGGGCCCTCCCTTTCCAAAATTACCTTTCCCTTTCATGGGCTCTACTGGACTGACCACCACCTTTAAGAGCATCTCAGCTGCAGGGATGGGAATAGACAGCAAGGTTTCCTTCAGCCTGTGGATGATAAGTCAGATCCAGAGTGAACAAGGGGTTTATCAGAGCCTGTTATCATCTCCCATCACAGTGAACTCAAATACCATCTCCTGGGGGTAAACAGATGCTTAAATTCTGGTGACCGTGGGCTTGTTTCAAGAGGAATTGACATGACATTTTGGCAAAAGAAAGGCAGAAGGATAAAAGGCATTTCTTCCCGTCATTAACCTGGTGATTTGGAACATAGTTGACCCAGATAACGCTTGGCTTTGAGTTGCTGATTGAGAAACACAAAGGGAAAAGTACATTTCCCACGTCAAATTCTGGAAAGCCTCTATTTTCGTCACACAGACTGGCTGTGTAGCTCACCTCCCACTGCCACTTTCAACACAGTCATCCAAAAGGCTGAGAGGCTGCCTGCTCCCTGCAAGAGTTACCCCCAGGTCAGACAGCTCTAACCCCGCTGAGCCCAGCACTCGGTGGATAAATCACGTTTCCAAAGGGAGACACACGGCAACTTTGGTGAAGAAAATAAAATCTACTCCTAAAACACAAATAGGAATTAGGAAACCAAGTGTTTACCATGAAACTGTGCAAATAGGTAGCACGAGTAAACTCGCTTTGTTTGTCTTTGTTTTGCTTTAGAAAACCAGTATAAAACTAGATCATTTTTTACAAGTTGCAGAGCACCCATGTATTGGATTTCTGGCAAGAGCTTTGGGGTTGTTCAAAGAGAGAAAATAAGGACTTATTTATCATGAAAGTTGTAAAATCCCTGTCTTCCTTTTACTTGCCAATGCGACTGAGGAGAATATTCTGGGACAAAAGTACTGGCATTAAAAGAAGCATAAAACAAAACTCCCTCAATTTACAGCAAGGGTGAGACTTTCAAAAGCATATAAGCAAACTCGGTGATTTTTTTGTTTCATAAATCACTGAATGAGTCTGAAAATGTCATCAATCATTTTCTTATGCCTCCCAATAAGGAAAAAGAAAGAAGAAAAAAACGGAGGGGTAAAATATTCAAGTCCTATAGCATTTTATAATCTATCAGTTAAAATAATTGCTTCAATTTTATACAGGTTTTTCTGAGTGCAGGTTTTGGGACCCCTGAAGTTTCTAGGAATAAAATGGTATAGAAGAGAGGGAAAAAACAATATCTGTATCAGGGCTGCTGTGGAAACCCTCTCAGACAGAACAGACATGGCTCCTTTTCCTCCACTTGGTGCTGAGATAACTCAAAACAGTGTTAGATTAAATCAGCTAAGACAATAGAGGTTCCTCAATTTAACTATTCAGATCTGACCTAAAATCACAGTGCCCACCCAAAGATGACAACACGGGCAACAAGTTTAGCTCCCAGCTCAGTGTGTTACCAAATGAGAATCCAAACTGCAGGTCTGGATCTCACACAGGTGAAATTAAAAATAGAAGCTAAGTCCCATTTTAACAGTGGGTGTGAAATACCAGGCATCTCACGAACATGTTATTTTAAATAATCTTCCTATCCTGTAACAAATATCTGTCCAATTTTAGTCCGAGTTCTGCTGGAGTGTAAGGGCTGAATTGATTTCAAAGTTTTGTTATTGCCAGGGAAAAGGAGCAGGTACACATCGAAATCCGAGTGTACAATGCAGTTTGTCACAAAATTGGGAATCCATCAGAAGCAGAATATGCTGCAAGGGAAATATCAGGTCCAGTTGCTTTGATTTATATCGGGGTAAGTCCAGAGAGCGCCGAGTGGGGTTGTCCATTTGTCACTGTGACCGCACAGCCTGGCATCTTAAAAGCAGAGCTCCCTGCAAACAGAGCACTCCTTTGTGAAAAGTGACACTGACATTCAATCTAGGTTTATTTTCTGCAGGGGAAGGGGAGGGAGGATAGAACTGGTCCAGTTCCCTACACAAAGGTGGCTTGTACAAGTGCTCTGAACATCTGTCCTTCCCGAGGTCAGGGCAGACCCACTCGGCTGACTCACAGGGTTTTTGACAGCAGCACTCACAAACTCTGGACATGCCACAGCACAGGCTGTCACATGCCAGCTGGGTGGATCAGAAAGGACATGCAGGAAACTTGGGATTGTGGTGGTGGTGATGGCAAAAGCACAAATCTGTAGGAAACTAAACCTCACAAATTCAGGGAACAACAAAACAGCTCCTTTTGCAGCTAAAAGATCCGGATGTTATGTTCTGAAGGGTTGAGTTATTAATGCTTTGGATGATCAGCATTGAAAAGTGCATAGATGGGAAGAACATGCCTTATCTTTTGCGTCAGCAAAACTGAAGCTGTAGATGCAAAAGGTTGCAAAGTCTGAAATTTCAAAACACTGTTAGAGCTGAATAGGTTGGTTTTGCCACCTTTTTTCTGTCAAGCTTTCTAGAATCCATTTCACTCCTTTTCAGACTTCCTTTTTTTTTTTTTTATTTCCTCAAAAAAAACCAACCTCTCTTACAACTGAAAAGAAATATGCAGTGGAAACTACTTTAGTTTTCTATTCCAGATCATCATGGAATTTACGTGTGGCCAGACATGGCTGCATCTGACTCTACCCAGTAGAAAACAGCCAATCTTTTCAGGTACACCAACTTGTTTAACGTCTGAAATAGCTCAGTGGTGGTCTCCATGATCCTTGATGGATGAGGAGAGTTGAGGGGTTTCTTGGGGCCCATTTCTCTGTGCTGGCAGCTCTGACTGCCCAGACAGCTCTCCCCATCCCCTTCACTCCTCCTCCAGTTTACCCTCAGCCTTAAGGATCCTCTATGGAATAAACACAGTCTATGGTTTTGTGATTTCATTTCCTAGACCAGAAAGAACCTTCCAGTCCTACCATGGATGAAGAAACAAAAAGACTGGGGGAAAGCAGTAGGAACAAGATTGTGCCAGTAATGGATTTTATAAGAAGCACCAGAATAAGTGTGAGTATAAGATTCCTTTCTGGTGTGTAGTGTGTGTGGTGGCAGAAGCCTCTGTGTGTGCGTGTGTGTGTGTGTGTGTGTGTGAATGACCCGTGCTTTTTGGTGGGTTCTTCATGCTGCACGTGCTCCTCCTGTGTCCAGAAATTGTGTTCCATTAATTCTATTAGGAGATGAATTCAAATGGGGTTTACATACCTTTAAGAAGCAGTCTTAATTATTTAACAGTGTACCCAGTTTATTTAAAATGCCTTTACATGAAATTTTCTCAAATCTTTATGGCCTATTTTATTATAGCCCTTCTTCACATAACCACCAAAACTATTGTTAATATGTTTAATACTCATAGTATACTACACCTACCACCAGGATCTCCATTAGGTGTTAGTAATTGCTACTTGAAGCATTTCTAGTGGTTCAGATCCTGAACCCTATGTGTTGAAGTATGTGAAATAACCTTCAGATCTGCTGCAAACATATTAAAGGTATAGCAGTTAATTCTACTCCATACCTTCCGCAATAATGTACACAGCATTTCAGCACCGTGGCTGTTGATTAGCACAAAAGGTCAAAAATCAAATTTGCATGTAGACTAGACTGTTTTAATGCAATTCTTAAATTATTCCTCTGAAAATAGGAGGAAGAAGCCTCTCCTCCCCAGATTGTGAATGCTAATGTTAATGCTTTTTCCCCAGCAATAACCGGTTTCGAGTTTTCTGCACGTTGAAGGAATCAGAGCCATTTTCTCGTCAGGGGTGTCTTAGCAAATCACAGAATTTATATTCTTAGATAGGAGGTTGACAAAAACTGCTACTTAGCAACCCCTAGCAAGGAAGAAACATTAGCTAGATATTTGGAGAAGCTCTATCTCCTTTAGTCTCAGAGAGCAGCTGCTGAAACAACAGTAAGTGCCTGCACTCACATGTTTAGTGGGAGGTAAAGGTGCTTAGTACTTTTCCAAAACGGGTGCTCTCAAAGTGTCTGCATTGCTGAGAGGCAGGAGAAGCAGGCTGAGGTCAGACATCCCCAAGGAAACACAGCTGCTTCTCTCCAGTTCTTCCCTGAGGCCTTGTGCTGTTGGCTTTGAATGACCAAAAGCCCAAGTTATTGATGTGCAGGCTAATAGAAGTGGCATCTTTGAGAAAGTGAAATATCTGTTCCTGCTGTGGGCATTGCACTTCAATGCACTTCAAGAAGCTACAGGTGCAAACAGGCAGTGGGTTTGGTACTGGATACAGAATAAACCCGTTTTTTCCAAAAGCCCCAGTAAAACAGCAATTAAAAAAAAAAAAAAAAGAGTCCACAATTCTCTCTTTGGGTATAACATAGAGCTTTTTGAGGTGAAATTCCTCTACCACAGTTACATAGGCAGCAGCAAACTTGCCTTTTTTTTCAAGGAGGTCGGCACAGCATCCCTGGGGCTCAGGCCAGGGCCACCCCAGTGCCACCTCCAGCAACACAAAGAAAGGAATAACATGGTTGAACCATGGTCCTGCAAATTTATAACCAGCCCTGGGGGTCAGTGTGGGAGCTTTAATGGAGAGGAGGGAAGCTCCCAGGTAGAAGGAGTTACCACAGAGTTAGAACACCTACTAATTCCATATTCATTGTCATCCACTTTCCTTTCAGTTGTCGTAGGATTACAAGATCCAAGCAAGACAGAACCTCTGACCCAAAGAGCAAATGACAATGCCAATTACACCTGATAATACAGAAAGGCACAGAGCCAGAGTTGCTCTCCTACTGGGGATGAACATCTCTTTATGGACCTGACAGATATGGCAAATTTTGCTTCCTTGAAAGTATTCCAAAGTTTCCTTTAAGCTAGAAATATGACCCATCTTATTTCCATCACACACAAAATAAATTATAAACTTCTGTAAGACAAATTTCAGACTTGAGCTGTACAACAGAAGATAAAAAATAATATCTTTGGTTTTTAATAGAATTAACATTCCTTTCCGTCCTCTTTTTCATTTGAAGATGCAAAAGTACAATCCAAATTCTTGTCCTGATCAGATTTTTTTGAAACAAAGACCTCACTGCTAAAGTAGAGCTTATTAAGCCATGGCAACACTCAGTACTCAAGTCAATTCTGCCAGTTTTGCAGCCACGCAACCTAGAATTAGTTGTATGCTTTATACACACACCACTGTCAGCAAGACGTGAAGTTTCATGTTAAAAAAGCAGAGGATTTTCTCTTTCCCTCCCCCATTCTTCATAAAGAACAGCCAGTCCCATTTAAATCAAGTGGACATTTGTGTGTCATAAAGCAAGAAGCATTTGAGAAAGAATGTCACAGTCTGGTCCCTGTGCAGCATCATCTGTGGCTGGTGGGGAAATGCCATAAACCTCCTCTACCCAGAAATACATACCACGGCACAAAGGTTATTTTATTTGCCCTAAAAAAATAGCTACTGGCCAGACCTTCAACTACTCATTTCCCAGCCAAGATTGCCAGCACTGACAAGTGGTTATTCTATCAAGGTTATTTCACTGGGGTAATTTTTCCTACTTTGCATACATCAAGTTTGCCTTTCTCCTGCTGTAATCCCATGCTGATGACACATGATGCTACTTAAGAGGAGAAACAGTGGCCAGAGGGGCTTATTATACTGCTCGTATCATAAAGGTGAACAAAACCTACCATATGATTCACAGCATGATGCTTATATTTACAGACCTCACTGTTTTGTTGTCTATTTTTTAAGTGGAGGGAAAGTGTTTATTTCACACAGATTTCAGCACACAGACTTTCTGAAGGATACCAAGGGCATTAAAGAAACATTATGATGGATTTTTTCCGCTTGTTACTGCAATACACTACAGAGCTGCTTGCAAGGCATAACTTCATTCACATTTCTGAGCTGAAAAATAGTGGCAAAGACTCCACAATAGAAAAGAAGAACTACTGGGGGCATTCCAGGCTTTTGCAAAGTGGTGCTCTTTAAGCTGAGAGTTAAACATGCCGGGCATATTGGATGTGATACATCCTGCTTAAAATCCAGGCTGACCAACCTCTTTGCTTTTCTTTTTCTTTAGCACTCAGCAATTTAGCTTTATTTATAAATAGAAGTGGCAGAAGGGATGACTCCTTTCTTGCGTATAGAGAAAAGCAAAAGGTGGGGGTATCGTGCTGAAATTCTCAATACATGAAAGGACAAATGATTCACTCCTCTCACATGCTCTCCAGCTCCTTTTTTGCAGTGAAAGCCCATCCCAGCTTTGCTCTGGTTGTTAGTGCTGGGTGTTTAGAAATAGCAGGTAAGCTCCCTCCAGAACTGACTGATCTGCTTTGTGTGGGTGCTCTTTCATCCCAAGGTCAGAGGAAGGAGAATGTCACAGGGCTGATCCTCGGGCCTCAGGACCTTATTTCTCTCCCAGCAGGAAGGTCTTCAAAGATGCCTCTGGGAACAAACACCCTTTTTTGTTTTATCTTAAAGGGAACTTGAACAGCAAGAAGTTTTCTAGAGAATGCTCCCACTTGGGAGGACCCCTGCCTCAGACAAGACTGCCCGTTATGAAGTAATTCCTCAAGAAATAGTCCATCAATTGCTCCTTTTTACTTTTTCCTTTAAATTCTTGGCATACCAGACAATAGGGATGAGATCCACCCAGAAAGTAACATCATCATCATTTAATCGTTTATTATCTGAATATGTTACTGCATTTCTAACCAGGATACAACTGTGACTCCATAATACTACATTTGTTGATTCCTTTGCTACCTGATTCTTTTCCACTGGAGTCTCAATTTAAGTTTGCTATTTGCTTAACCTTCACTGTGCCTAGCTGAGCTGATTCCATCTTCATCTGATTGCCAGGTAACTTTATTATGTTTTTTACTGCAGCTTAGTAGCCCCTTGAATTCTGCTATAGTTCATGTAATTCTCATCATGTGCATCAGCTCCCTGTGGAATTTTTTTCTCCTGCCAGCAGCAGTTATTTACTTCCTCTTTCTGCATTTCTCATTGTCATTGCAACACCACCTCTGACAATATTCAACTCCCTTTAATCCCTTCAAAAAAACCCTGGTTGTTGGTTATTTATTTACTTCCAACCTCCTCTAAACTCACATAGCATTGCTGTGTCCATGGAGTGTGTGTTGTCTCAGATACCCAATTTGTTTCCCATGGCTACCTGCTCTGCTCTCATATTTTTCTGAAGACTCAAGCAGAGGAAGAATTGTTTTCTTTTAGCCTTTGCTTTCTTAATCACTGGAGAAGCCCCCAACAGACACAGCACGATGAGAGAGGATTGTTACCTGCTTTCTTAGCTGATGACTCAGCGTACTCATTTCTTAGTGCTCACACAAAAAGGGTTTGGGCGGATTTCAAGAATAGCAGAGAAAGAACCATTTGCTGCACCTCAGATGTTGTGAGACTATTTCATGTTGATAAGAGCTCTCTTTCTCGTGAACTGATGGCTTCTCCTTATTTTAATGCACACATCTCTACCTGGGAAAACAGCTGGATGGTTTTTGGACACAGAAGATCAGGTGGAGACAGAGCTCTGTTTTGTTCCTTGCTTCAGCACTGCTCTAACTAGACTGGGTCAGACTTACAATTTCACATATCAGAGAGCCCAGAAATCTCCTTTCTTGCTAATATCTCCCACTAATACTAGATCAGGTCCTGAGAAACTGACTCCTCAAGTGATAAAAATAGTTTGTAAGAAGGTTGTCCTGGTCTGCTCTTAGAGATGGGTCAACAGAAATTCATGACAAGGTGGGTCCGGAAGGACTCTCCTGGCTCCTCAAGTCAAATCACCTGCTGTTATACACCTTTGTGTCACCATATATCTTATTCATAACTTGAGTAAAATTCTTCTTAGAACTAGTTAGGCTTTCTTTCTTTACTGCTCTGGGTGAAACACACTGCAGACCTTCAACCTGAATTGTCAGAAGCTTAATTGCCACCCCAGTCTTATTTGTACCTATTTATACACAATGGTCCTTCTGCTATCATTGTCTTTTATGTCTCCTTCCCTTTTCAGTTGTTTGC